TAGCAGATTGGCAACGGGCGACCTTGCGGACAGGAGATTGGCCAGCTGAACTTGTAAAGCCAGGGGTAAGAAGAAAATCAGACTCCAAGTTCCCTGTAAACAGCCTAGATGTTTCAGGACAGCCTCGGCTAAAATGTCTGCAAAAGGACTGTCTGGTGTCTAATATAGGCGAAATGAAGATAGAATAAATAAAAGATAGATAAATACATAAAGTATATGGAAAAATTGGAGAGAAACTAGAAGTTTCCGACTGGGTCTGAAAAGTTATATGGATGAACGCCAAATTGCATTTCCAAAACCGGAATGAAGCAAAGGCATCTTATCTCCCATTCGGTTATCTTTGACCATCCATACGTAACAAATTACTATATTTACACACAATTAAATACCAATAATTCATGACAAAGACAGCATTAAGAAGTGCAGTTACCCTTTGTGGCATAAAGTGATCAAGAGCTGGTGGTTGAATCTTTCTTAATAAAGGCTTCATGAAGCTTAATTAAAATACGAATTAAAGAGAAGCTCAGGTGGCAAAGCATAATCAAAAAGTAGACTTAGAAACACAAATTATGCAGAACATCTTTGAGTCGCGAAGAAAAATATAAATAAAAAGCTGCTTATGCCTTTAAATAATGACCAAGATGGTGTGGCTTTCCGTTTGGGTGAAGTCACCTTTAGCCCTGTGGTGTTGGTTCGACTCTATTTTCGCACTTGGTAGGAGCGTCAAGGAGACCTTGTAGAAGGTACCTACTCCTCTGTTCTCTGCCATAGTATTCGTGAACACAGAATGGTGTGAATATAGAATGGGCCATATAAAGTGGAATTGAAAAGAAAATTGGTCAAGGAGATTGCCTTAATTTGTCACTTTGATAAGTTGTAACTCTGTGCTAACAATGATGCGAAACGTTTGGGAATGTACCAAGCCAATAATCAGAAACTGGAAATCATGAACACTATGGCAGAAGATACAGGACTAGGTAAGTTCCACAGGGTCTCTCTGACGCTCCGACTAAGTTGCGAAAACAAGGTCGAACCAACAGAATAAAATGTGTGGCTGGCCATGGTGATTATGGGGATATACAGCGATGTTATCAAGGCTTGGGAATACACATAAGCCTCAGTAAGATAGCCACAGAAAATGCAAAAGGGAGCCGACCTACCAACTCTGGCGCAAGGTGAGCCAGCCTTCGAGGCTGCCCTCTTTCTGGAAGAAATAGATGATCTCAATGGAGGTCGTCGAGCGAGAGAATCATGGTCCTCCAACGAAGAAAAAGTCGGAACTTCATGTAAAAAGTTTGCCTTGATAATTTAATAGCATACACGAGAGTAAAAGTTAATAACATAAGGGTAGAGGGGAAATTGGCTCAATATTAATATAAGATAAATTACTTATGGACTCTAAAATACCCCACCCATTCATAAGGCCAAAATAAAACTCACGACCCCACTATCAAGAAAATTTGCTACGCTCCTATATAACCAAAATCTTTGTAAGGTTGTGTGTCTATACGAAGCAATATTGAATACGATCGTTGTGATTACTTGCTCCACCCTTAATAAGTTCGAGTTTAAGCAATTGATTTGTGACTAGTAAAACAATAAAAACAAGCTTACTCTTATGACCATAATGGATAGATAGTTGGAACTTGATTACAAAGCTACAAAGTTAAAGCGGATTAAGTGATAATTACGAAAAGCGTTGTTACAGCAGATATAAAATGCAATGCCCATATCAAGGTAATATAGAATTTCAACGAGAGAAACACACGCCCGCATTACAGTTTTATATATGCAAATTTCTTGCCCCGGCCAGTATATCTAAAAGCCTAAATAAAAAGCTATAAAATTTAGTTTGAAGCTCCATTTGATTGAGAATAGCCACATGGCAGACCATTGAAACACAAGTTGTCTTCGTAAATGCACAGAGTTGGCACAGTTAAGTTAGGAATCCATCTTTATTCTTCTCCAATAAGGAAGATTTAAAAGCATCACTTTGTTAAAATGAGGGTGATGTGAATATTTCAATATAAGTATGCAAAGTTAAATAGGAAGTGTCAATTAACACCAAAACACACAATAATGCATTTTAAGATGAGAAACTAGGCAATTGGCATGTATGTTGCAAAGAAGATATAAAGGCTAAGAAAACTACTTGGCGGCTAGATGTAATTTCTTCTCCGGATGGCGAAAAGGATGAGATAACTGGATCGGCGGAAGGAGGCTGGAAGGGATGAGATGTGAGGCTTGAGGCCAGCGAGGTGGAGGAAGACAAATTGGATTTGGCATCCACAACTCGATGTCTAGGTTTGGCCCAGGCACGAGTAGACTGAAGAAGGTTGGAGACCATTTTTACGTAATATGAGGATCAGGAAGAGATACCGAATGGAAGAATACGTATTAGTAAGACCTAGATTTATTAATTATTATAAAAACAGAAAAAATATTGGGACTTGCGGTGATAAATCCTATAACCTAACACTGATCTAGCGTGGAAAAAGATCTGTGAACCAAGAAGTACTTGCTAGGTTGCACAAATAAAATTTATGTAAAACAGTTTAAAATATATGTAAGAATACTGGCTTTCGAATAACCCTTTTATAGATTGAAGTTGGAATGCCAACCATCTAGTTTGAAGAGACAATTGGAAAGGATTCGAAAGTTTGCCTCACCGGAAGTCGAAGGGAGGTTGTTAAGGAGTTGCGTCAGGAAAATTTGTGCAAATAAGTCATTAGTTCACCGTCCCGTGACTTCAATGTATCCTTGTGACGGACATCGTCAGAGCAGGACACCATGCTCCACGATAATTCACCAAGAATAAAGACAAGTAAGATATTTGTCTTTGTCGCGAGACAATAAACCAAGACTTATTCGCAAAAATCTAGTCACAACGCCTAGGCAACCCTTCCCAACTTCCGGTGAGACCAACTTACGAATCCCTTACACTCGTCTCTTCAAACGAAATAAAAAGTACTCCAACAATTTAAAACAGAATATCAGGTCCACCAGTGATTACAGTCGAACAAAGAAAACAAGTCAATGATACCATTTAACCTTTTTGAATTGTTGAAAATATTATGGTATCGCTCCCAAAAAAGGATGCAATCATGAAGATCAATGGGATATTGAAGGATATACCAAAGAAAATTCATAAACACGGATAGATCGTGAGATGGATAAAGAATTCCTTTATTAAAAACGACGCAAGATCACCTAAAACCTACGGACTACGAAAGACACACAGAGGAAAACCACTAAGAAGTTGTTTGACTCTGTTTTCTCAACTTGGTCATATTGGTAGGAAGACCTTGAGAAAACCTAGTCCGGAGTCCATAGTATGCATGATAATTTCCAGTTGGACCATTGACATAGTACATCTTCAAATGTTTCGCCGGCATCGTCAGTAAGCTTTGCCATTCTTAGCATCACACTACAACTCGTCGGTGACAAGTGAAACCGATTTTTTGATCAATTATCTGCTAAACAATTGTGGAATCTCTCCTGCTTTGGGCTATTCATCAATTTTATATCCTTGTATCACCCCTTCACTATCACTCCTTATTTAAATGTGGCATGATGTGCCCTTTTCAGCTGATTTTATGAGTTCTCCAAACCCCTCGCTGGTCCTCTCAAGCCCTCACCCCGCAATCCTATTCCCATAGGTCTTATCAATCTCCCTCTTATCCCGTAGGACCCGACTCGTACCTTCCTGGTAAAGGTATTTCACTCGACATTTGCCACCCCATCTATACTGCTTTAAGCGTTATTTTCCACAGTCTCAAGCCTTTTATGGCACGCATACACTCGCCTCGCTGAATAGACCCATGAAAATAAGGATTCTAAATCAGAATGGAAGAGTAATTCGAGAGTGAAGATCCCGAATAATTCCCGTGGCCAGGATTTTGCTTCATGGACCTCGTCTACTGTTAGCCAACTAGCTCTAGTCTCCAAGTCTATGACTTCATATGCCTCATTCTCTTGTGTTGCGGTTCTACGTTGAACCTAATCAAAAAAGTAAAACCTAAACAATTCTAGGTTGGCACATAAAAGACTGAAGCATAGGAAGTCATAGACTTGGCACCAGGTCTAGAAGTACGATAGATGTTGCGGAGACTAGAGCTAGTTGGCTAACAATAGATGTGTTTGATTGACCATGTCTATGATCAAACACCTCTGCTGTTAGCCAAATAGCCCTAGTCTCCACTGATTCTATCCATAATACAAGGTCTATGACATCCTATGCCCTAATCTCTAGTGCGCCAACCCACAAATGTTGTGGCTCTACTTGTTTTGATTAGACTCCCTGTAGACGTGTCCTTTTAGCTTCAGATTGTTCCTTTCTGGTCTCCTTGCGATTTCTTT